AGCCAGCAATATCCAGAGTTCCCCACTACTGGGCATTATAGAAGGGCAGTAGCATAGAAATGCCTTCATGGAACATCTAGATAGAATGACCTTGGGTGCAGCACTTTCCAGGAATCCCAGAGTGGCTTCCTGTGAGCCAGAGAAGAGCACAATATCATCCGTGAGAGAGCTGACCTGGGGAAGCCTTGAGTTTGCTACAAGAAGATAAACAGCAGTAATGTGCATGTGCTCTGGAGAAGAGGTCATGTGGGTACCTCAACAGATGTCAGTGTGGATGGATGCTGACAACCTGGACCAGATCCCATTTGCCACAACCAACTCTTTCCCACGTGAACTTAACATTAGGTACTCCTTTTCAAGGATTGCGTTCAGGGATGGGAAACTATTTGATGAGAATTTAATTTTCAATACATAGTGAAAGGAAGCTCAAAAGAGACAACAAGTTCAGTTACAGAAAAAGTAAGTTAAATTTCTTATACACCTCGATTTGTGACTTGGCTTTCATACCTACCACACACCAAAGAAGTGCACACTGAGATGGATTTCAATGAAAACAATCCACTGGGGGAGGAGAGGTGAAGCTGGAATAGAGAGGAAGTAGTAGACTGGAATGGGGATCAGGACCAACTCAACCTGATGAGCAGGTATTTCTCATCAATGGACTACATGGTAATTTAACAAATGTAGTACTCTCACTTTTTCAATTAATCTCAAACAAACGTGTTTATCTCTGTGTCGTCCTTTCTGTGTATGACGACTGAAGGACTCTCCTTTCTTTCCATTTGTGGACCCCTCATCCCTTGTATGAATTTGCTCCAGACAATTGTTCCAGCCCTTTCTTAGACTGGTCCTGCCTAGCCTATCCTTGAGGTGATTTAAATATTCAGATCTTCCTTCTTCAACTGACCCCCAGCAATTCAGGAATGGGCATTTTGCTTTTAAATTTCTTCTAAAGTCTTTGCAGAAGTGCCTCACCCAGTACTGTAAGACTCTGTTGCTGTAACTCAATTTTTAACACACTTCTCTGAAGTTTACAATTGTGTTAGCTTCATTTAAGTTTTTCCAAACTTGGGAATATTAAGCAAGTAGTATGGTTTGGTTCTTAATTGCGAAAACAGTACCATGTTGCCAATATTGGGGATCCAATTTAATTTAAATCATTATTTCAAGTAACCATAACTTTTTACAACTCTAAATTTTCCGTCTACTTTTTCATACGTTAATATATACCAGAGCATGATAACACTTCCCAATGACCTGAAACACTTTTAGATAATCCTTAACTCCTAATCTCAAACTCCAATTTTAGTTATGCATATACCTTTAGCAGCATTTGAATAATTATTTTCTTTTTCTGTGGTATGTGGTATCTAAATCCTGGCCTATTGTGACCTTGCTATGAAGGGTATCTAAGCTATTTAACTTGTCTAGACTCAATTTCCTCATCTCCAAAGTATAAGTATTAAGAATAATTATTTATTTAGCTAATATTTACACGGCAGTCCAGCGTGATGACTTCTGTTCTAAGCACTTCACGAATATTAATTCGGTTCATCCTCACAAGAGCTCAGTAAGTAGTTACTTCTAGTATCCCCACTTTATAAAGAAGTAACTTGAGGCTAAGTAACTTGCCTAAGGACACACAGCTGGTAAGTTGTGAATGAGGAGTTGAGCCTGTCTTCTTGACCATCACACGATGCTGCCTCTCCACTTAAAAATGCTTAGACTGTGTCTGTACACGCATCAAGTTGAGGTTTCTACTCTTAAGGGGCTGACAATTTTAGTCAGTCCTTAAAGTACTAAGAATTAAAATGCTGAAAATTTGGTACAGATGCTTACAATCAAATGATCAATAATAATCATGTGCTTCAACTGAATGATCACTGACGATATGCCTTCAAAGCATTGACAATACATTTAACAGAAATTGAGCCTTAATATATATGTGATTATTATAATAACTATTATTATAACAGTTACCACACTCTAATAGGCTAGTAATCATTTGCTAGTCCACGGGAAATTTATCACTGGTCACATCAGCCCATGGGCACATAGTAGGGGTCTCAAAGGGGTGTGAGTCTGAATAAAACTAGAAGATATGAGTTTATCTTTGCTAACTTCTCCACCCTTTAATTCCCCTCCCCAGTATCTACCCTTTTGGACACCTAAGACAAGCACAAAGAATTGTCATAAACTCATTGTGCTCTGAGTGAAACTTGCCAGCTAAACTAATAATTTACATTTGCATAGCACATGACTACTCTCTAAACTAGGCTTTCTGACTTCCAAGATGAATATCTGCTAGTTGAAACCTACAATCATCATGCTAAAAATCAGAAGGTAACCAGCTTGGGCCACACCAAGGAGCTTTGAATCACTATATAGAGTGGCTTGGACATTCTGGGTTAACAATTTTCCAACATATTCTATTTCTTTGTAGAGCCCTGAATAACAATTATAATGGCTCACAACTACTGAGGGCTTCTATGTGTTAGGCACTGTGCTTTCATTCTCAAAACAACCCTTGGAGGTAGATGATCAGTATTTCATTTTTGAGTGTGAAAATTGAGGTTGAGAGTAACTTTCTCACATTCACACATGGTTAGTGGCTGAATCTGTGTTATTTCTTGAAGCACGTTCTGATTATCTACTGCTCCCTAACAAATTTCCATAACACATAGTGGCTTAAAATAATCATTTTATTTTACTCAGAAATTGGTGGGTCAGGAATGTAGGAAGGGCTTGTCTGGGTTCATCTCTGATCCACATGGCATCATCTGGAGCAGCATGGGTCAAGAAAATCCACCTCCAAGATGGCTCCTCCACTAACGTATCTGTTGTTTAGTGCTCCTTCCCCATTCCACACTCCAATCCTGCCCCTACTCCCCAAATTGCTTCTCATCATCCAGGGCCTCCAGATGTGGCTTGGGCTTTTCACAGCAGAGTGGGTTGGTTGTTGAGTTTCACTTCTTACATGGAAGCGGGCTTTTAAGAGCAAGTGTTGCCAGAGACGAGCAGAAACTGGTAGTCCTCTTACAAGTAGGCCTGGAACTGGCATAGCACCACTTCTACTATATTCCAATGTTCAAAGCATCAGCCCAAATTCACAAAGAGGGAAAATAGACCCCACCTCTCAATGGGAGGAGCATCAAAATATGTGCAGCCATGTTTAGTCAATATTTGCAGTCATATTTAATCAATTAAGCATTTGCAGTCAAGTGGCAACTGGGGATGGAGATGTATGAAAGCTCATTTGGGCTGGACAGCCAAGTTGGCTCCCTCATGTGATTGTGAACTGATGTTGACAATTGGCTGAGAGCTCAGAGGAGATTGTTGACCAGGGTGCCTACGTGCACACAATCTCACTATGTAGATTCTCAAGCACGATGACTGGGTTCTTAGAGAAAGAGTCCTAACAGCTATCATTCCAAGAGACACAGGCAGAAGCTGCAAAGCTCTGCCTTAATCTATTGGTCAAAGAATTCATTAAGAAAGGCTGATTCACGGCGAGCGGAGACTCCACCTCTTGGTATGAGGTGGAACATTTCCCAACTTCTACCATGGTTGCAAGACCTTCTCATTAAGTGGTTCTTGAACATGTATTACACTTTGTCTGTCTCTGCATTTCCTCCTATCAGACAGCATTTCTTCTCATAGTAATGCATTTCACACAATGAAAGGTATGGTTTATTGTATTCAAGAATAAGTGATGCCTCCACCTGAGGGACACTTAGCAGGGATAGACTGAACTATATGAAATGTCTAACATTTAGTCAACTTTGACAAACAAAAATTGCAATTTCACAATTCAACTTAATATTTTAGTTATCTGTTAGCATTGAGATATGGAGTAAAAAAGAGATTTTATATAAATATTTAGCAGATTCAGAAAAAAACCTTTGCTATTTTAGCTTTTGGAGAAAGAGGTCACTTTATGCTAGGTCAGGATTACCAGACCAACATTTCTGTCTTCTGCTTACTTTATCCGTTCGTCCAGATCCCTGAAGCCCTTCCTGGCATTGATTCTTGGAGTTTATGAGGCCAACACTTCTGTTTGGTGAATACTTGTGAAGGCCTGCTCTCCAACCTTATCCCAATGGGAGGGAATAAGTCAATTCACCGTGTCAATAGCAATGAAAGTGTTCTCCTGCATATCAAATCTTCTGTTTTTCTTTGTGACTTTCCCAATGTTGTTCCTCAGATGAAGGAACTGCCTTACAATTTCCTTCTTGCTGAAAAGCTTTTCAATAATAGATTCCCCTGCGAAGCTCCCCACAGTTCTTAAAATGACAGAAGGGAGCCAAACCTCAAAGCTCAAAGCTGACTACTTCCTGAGGTGGTATATTTTAGGAAGGGATTACTATGAGTCAATAACTCTCTTATACTATGGTTTATATGGTAAGAAACACTCAACAAAGGTAAATCTGTAAGAGCAAAGTGATAATGAGTATAATTCTGTCCTCTTCGTCTTTCCTTTACTTAAATAGTACTTATTGAAGCAAATATGTTTTCTCTCTCTCACACCTCAGAAATCTTAACTATTTAATGATATGTAGTTTGAGACATCACAGGGTCTTTGGTCTCCAAGAGAACAAGTCTCTAAGAGAACACATCTCATGTCTATATTGGGAGTTTGGGGATTTTACTTGCTGTTTGAAACACAACATTCTGATAATAAACTGCTGCCAGGGTAGACAAGACTTGAAGTGGGAATTGGAGCAAAAGCAATTGTCTCTCTCAGTGGTACTTTACAGTGGAGTACAAGAGGCTGTGAACTCACGAGATCTAAGTAGAAGGAAGGGCTGCTGACTAACGTCAGTTCTATCTTTAAGGAAGTCTGGGCTCTGCTTGGTGTTTGGGCTGAGGTACAAAACAAATTCTCTATTTTCCCAAATAGTTCACCCCTCCCTAATTATAGCTCTCAGATGAATGTTTTGTTACCATCAGAAAGCAGGCAAAGCAGGAAGGAAATAATCAGGCATTTTCACTTAGAACATTGAATTTTAATATCGTTTTTCCTCTTGCTAAGAGACCTTTCAATTTTACTTCGTACATGTTTTAAGTCTGATCAATTTTACCTTTCAAGATATTATTCCTCATCCATAAAATTACACAAAAATTGACATAAACAAGCAGACTGAAAAGGAACAATCGTTGTGCATTTTCTAAAAACTAACCTTCGTGTTTATAGAAATAATAAAGCCTATGCAGTACTTCTTTGAAAGATCTTGCTCTAAACAAACTGAATTATTCATGCATCGAATTGTACAGCATTAGAACACCTGTTTTCAATCATGCATAATGTAAAATCACTCATTACCTCACAAGAGCCTCTACATCTCCAGCAATCAAATGGCATTGAAACAGCAAAACAGGTGCCTGGCAGGTGGATCCCAGCAGATGTTTTGGGCTTGTATGCCTTTTCTTGTACAGGTGTGATGATCTTGTTTTCAACTGCCTAATTGCCATTTAAATAGGTAATATTTAATTCTTCTGTACTTTAATATTTATTTTTGCTTCTTCAATTCCTCTCCCAGTTTGCTACTGCCTGGGCTTGAGGTGGATTTCAAAACTTTCGGGATCCTGGAAGGTGGAGAGAGGCCAGTTGAAGGAGCAGTCCCATTGTCTTAGGCTGTCACGGTGAAGGGACCCTCTGCTAAAAGGACAGTTTCTGGGTGAGCATGTGGAGTTTCAGTAGCATAGCTAACTACTGAACAGGAAAGGAAAAGTTACTTTCCCTTGTTAGTTATCATCCAAAAGTCATATTTAACCATTTCTACTGTGCATACCATGAATTTTAAATTAAGTCAATGCAAATCTTTGAGTGCAAATCAGAAAGAGAACATCTTTCTTCAGCTGCCAATACACAAATTATTGAACTTCTACAGATAGCTCTGTGTGTATCTTCCTCGTGAGGCGTCAAAATGCATTTGCTTAAGCATGTTTTAGTAAAACATCTTTAAGTCTCAGCTGGAAATAGGGTTTTCACGTCGTACTAGATTTATCCAATATAAACTCATTCTAGCAGAATAAGTAATGCAGCTTTCAACAGGGGGTGTTGCAGGCACCTTATTTCCCTGTTTGTATACTTCTTCCTTGTTTAAAAAACAATCAGCAAATTTAGTATCAGTGCAAGGTGCTATATTGAAAGCTGTGAAGACAGAAAACTTTGTTTTTGAGAAGTGCAGCATGAGTTTCTATAACATACCATTGATGCTGTCATTCTCTGTAGGTCTGTGTGCCTTTTTAGCCATGGGTTTACAGTGAGTCAGGCTGCCAGAGTGGAATTATTAGTCCATTCTTCTGACATAGTTGGAAATCTAGGCACCACTACATCATCCAAACTAAAGTCACTATCATGCGAGCAAGTGAAGACAAGGATCACACCAAGAACAAAGCATATGTTTGATATGTTACCTTATATCATTGATATTTTAGATAACCTATGCAAAATGTCCAAATATTTCTATGTAAAAGAAACAATGTTTTCAGTCACCCAAATATTGTATTAGTCCCATTTAAGTATTCAGATGTTTCTAAGTATCTGGATACTCAGGAAAATTCATGTAGAGCAAAGACCTGGAGATGACCACCTTTTCTTCCTGTTCTACCCGTGTCATGCTCTTTCCAATAAAAATACCCTAAAATGAAAGAAGAAAAAAATCTTATTGTAGTTTTTTACCACGTAAGGTATTAGAATTATGTAAACTAATTTAATGGCTTTTTAAAATCAGATCAGAAAGTTAACCCCCAGGTCTTATTTTTTCACCTAAGAATTACTAATAACTTGCTAAATTAATGGTCATAACTTACTCTTGAGGTTGACCTCTATCCTAAGTAAAATGAGAACAAAATATCTGTTGCAGTATATATTAAGCAAACAGATCCCAGTCTTTTATATCTATTACATTTATTCTATTTATACATTAGTTATTGATATTTTATTACTATAATTTTTTAATCTATTAATTCCACATGAATTACTGATTTCGTGTAATAATAATCATCATCATAACAAATCACAATCACTATTTTCACCACACCGTCACCACCATTTATTGAGAAGTTATAATCAAACGAGATATTAAATATTTTACATGGATTATTTAAATACTATACTATATTAATACATACATACACATATTATGTATACATATACATACACATATACATATATTATGTTAGCTTTACCATTTTTATTATTCAAATGTGTTAAAAAATTCAGACCTACCAAAGGTAGAGAATATGAAATCCATCTTAAATCTTAGTTTCAAGTTCTTTCTCAGGATAACCCATTTTGGCTTGTCAGATAGAGTTCTGAATCTTCAGGATCTGAAGAGCTGGAAATAAATTTGATATCATGCTCCATCGTATCCAGTATGTGGCACTGATAGAATAAAGACAAGCTAGTTCTAAAGAGGATAATATTTTGAAACATTTCTAAAAGACATCTCAAAAGCAAATGTTATCCTAGACATGGGAGCACTCTATTCTTCAGTGTGTTTGTGTGTGTGTGTATCTCAGATCCTTACCATTAATTATCCATTTTTGTTCTTCAAAATGCAAATGCATGCTTAGTGTCTGACTAGCTCAATGCAGGAATGTGAAGGTATGCTTTCTTTGGACTAACTTGTACTTGTTAATACAAATAAATATAACATTCTATAGCATTTATGATTAGGTAACAATAGCAACAAAAAGGAATAAATGAAGGCATTGTTCCAATATAACTGAACAAAATATCTACAATAATAAAGTAGAAGGCAATGATATTTTTAACTTGAAAACACCATAATTTTTTTTTTTTAAAGATTTTATTTTTTTTCCTTTTTCTCCCCAAAGCCCCCTGGTACATAGTTGTGTATTCTTCGTTGTGGGTCCTTCTAGTTGTGGCATGTGGGACGCTGCCTCAGCGTGGTTTGATGAGCAGTGCCATATCCGCGCCCAGGATTCGAACCAACGAAACACTGGGCCGCCTGCAGCGCAGCGCGCGAACTTAACCACTCGGCCACGGGGCCAGCCCCCGAAAACACCATAATTTACCTAAAGCGCAGTAGCATAGGTAAAAGTAGAATAGATAAAATTCATCAAGAAAGCTCATGGGAATATGCAGCTTCATTAAACTAAAATTTAGCACAACAGAAGACTAAAAGGTCATCAAAAACAAATAGCTACACTGTGATTTTAAAAATAGCGACTTACTGTTATTTTTTGGAACTTTTGGAGTGTTACTTGATTTGTGTGTTCCCTAAATTTGACCTGAATTTTTCTGCTATACAACAATTTTATCATTCTATTATCTATATTCTTCTACATGTATGTTAGGACCAGTTTACACCAGAATGAATCAATGCAAGCATATCAGGACTCTGGGGGTGTCTGACTTCTTGCAGAATTCTGCCAAATAAAATGAAATGAAACCACACTAAAAGAAAAGCGAAATAATTAGGAGTTTAGGGATGAAATATTTTAAACTGGACATTGCATTGTATTTTCTGGAAATAGATAAACACAAGAAACATTTAACGAAATACTAATGAATTGTTTCATTTTCAACAAAATTAGTGCCCTGGAAACTATTTGGAGACAGTAAAGATTGTGGTCAGTAGCTCACACAAAATACCTAGTCTTCCAGGATTAGAAGATAATTTCTGTCTCCACTAATCACTCTTTTTACCAGAGTTTAAGAAAATGACTTGCAGAGTAATTGCCTGCTTGCTATAGTTCCTTTCCTACTACCCTTCCTTCAGACTCTCAAGGACGCACTTTCTCCATTGAGTTAGAGAATGGCAGGAGAAAGAAACAGCCAAGTGTAGATTGAGAAGGTGTGCAAAATTGACATCAACTTCACTTACTTAGAAGAAAACTAGTGCCCAAAAGCAAGTCTTTGCTTAGGAAACTAGACAAATTTCTTTTTCTAGAAAATACTATATACAGAGCATTGAGGAGAATGATATAAATAGGCACAGAAATATCCCTAGAAAACAATTTCAGTCTCTTCAAATCAATCACACACTCCAAAGTCAAAATATCTCAGTATATTACACAAAAACTGCATTTCCTGAGATCCAGCCATGAGGTCCATTCCCAAGGGAGATTTTTGTTAACAGCATGATCTCAATTTTAATGAAACTCTGCTACCAAGTAAAGTTTTCTTACAAATCTGCTATAAAAGGCATGAAACATTTAAAGAACAAAATGATTAAGTATAGCTGTTGTTTAAAAATGATATTAACCAGCAGTATTTTTTAGTTGAGTACATTTTGGGGAAGTAGAAGTTGGTGGCAGCCACGGGATTGATACACATGTGATCTGTTTAATCTTCCTCAAGCATAACAGGCTTCTATCTGCCATGGAGAACCTCTTTAATTTGTGACACGAGCAATCCTGCATTGGTTTCCCACTTCTTCTTCTTGTGCTTCATGTGGATTCCCTAAGCTTTCCAAAGTTGAGACCCTCCTCCCTGTATAAGGCTTTGAGGACCAGCTTCCACAAGGTCTTTATTAATTCTTTCACTTCTACGTTTTGAATTTCCCATTGTCTATGCCATGACTCAGGTTCCCCAAACCAGTGCCAATTCTAGATGTTTTATCTTCTTTGGCATATAATGGGTCTCTGAATTTGTCCTGCTGGTACTGAGTAATTTCTTATACATAGACAGCGCTGCAGATGTTGACTCTCACCTACAGGTACAGAGTCATGGTCTTTTCTACATCATCCATATAGAAATATTTTTTGATTTAAATTATGTTGTATTATAACATAAACATAAGCATAAAATTAGTTACAAACTCCTTATGCTTACAACTTTGAAATGGCTCCTGACCATGAAACGTTGTGGCTGGGGTGTGGTTTTTTCCTCACAGGATTTCCACCCCTTTCTGTGTTGTTCCTCGTTGTGGAGGTTCTTTTCATCCAGTGTCCAGATCTCTCTCAGAGGAAATTGTTCCACAAGTAATTGTAGGTTTGTAGTGTCCCTGGGAGGAGGTGAGCTCAGGATCCTCCTATGCCGCCGTATTCCCAAACTCCCTCATCTAAAAGTACCTTGAACCACTGCACAAGATCAACACTTTTCTTTCACTTATTTTCATAAAAATTATTTTTCAACACCCATTCTCTTAAAACCTGCTTTTAGAATCTTTAAGTTCTGAGTTTTCTGGCTTTTGGGTAAGTTTGCTTTCTTCAGATCTAGGGGGCCTGCAAAACCCTGTCCATAAACTGTTATAAACTCCAGGCCACAGATTTTCGGCATCAACTAGAAAGCCAATGATCTAAGACAGCATACTGTGTCACTCAAATTATGACTACTGTCTGAACTTAAGTGCACACTAACGAGAGTATTTACCTACCTGGGCCCATTTCTTCAAGATTTTAATCCCTGTCCAGTTCACTAAATGTGTCGCTCTCTTCCCTTATCTCCCATTTCTATGACGCCTGAATGTAAGGTACCAGTTAATTGTTTGCAGGTAATTTTGAGGACTATTTGAATGGTAGCAAGAAATAGATCACCAACCCACAAACAGGTGGTAAACGTTTGATAGGATCAGTGTAATATGACCATATCCTCTATTTTACTCACGTTAGTAGAGATTCTAAAACATTTTTATTTATTCTAAAGTAGATGGTGAACTTTCAAAGGAAGAGAATGAAATAAAATTTACTAAGATAGTAAAAGTAAAGTGTAATGAGATGATTCAAATGGTCTTTTAGGATTTTAAAGTATCTCAGAGTTATTTTGAATATCAAATCTCATTCTATTATATATGGGCAGACAGGAGGTTAAAGGGATTTTTCACTTGGTAGAATGCCGTAGCTATATTTCTCTGCTTTTAACATTTTAGCAAATAATTGAATTAGTATAATTTGTGTTTTCTGTCCTAGGACGCCTTGTTCAAAGAGATTGTTCAAGTTCTTACATAAAACATGTTTCTGTATGTGGTTATCAGTCATTTTTACTACAGGCACTTGTGAATTTTTTGCTCATTTTAGACTATATGGCAGCATTCAATGTAAATTAGTCAGGTAAACTAAATTTACAGAAAAAAGCTAAGTTTTCCACTTAAAATCTTATTTCATGTTGCATTGAGTTAATTTTTTTAAATCAACCATGCCAAAATTAAACTTTAAAATTTTATACAGGCAATGAAGGAAATGTTGCTTTGGAAACCTTTCTTTTTCTCAAAATACTTTATAAAGTTTCACTTAAAATCAATCATACATTATTTAGCCATTATTTATCACTTTTTTCATTGTTGTTTATATGAGTATCTGCAATACTATTCAAAAATATATACGAATAATGTTTTGTTAATGTTATTCCTTATAAAGAAATGCTTGTATTATTTGAATATTTCATACAATCTTATTGTACATGTAAGGCATTATGTAGCCATTAAAGCAACATCAAAGACTTTAAAGTAACTATATATTCCACTCGAAACTCTAAAAGCATTAATTACCATGCATAGTCACACACTCAAGAATTCAAAGCTATTCCATTGTTTTTTCGGAGTAAAGCAGTAGAAGAATGACTTTCTTCTTGGTAAATTGAGAATGATGTTTAATACAGCATACTCATTTACTTAGTTAACTACATAATTAAGCACATTTTCCTTTGTGTGTACCAAAGTGAAGAGAAAATATTAAATGAAAATAGCATCTTTAGCGACATATGAGAGGTCAAATATTAAAATACTTTGTTCACTAAGAGGAAATATAAAATTCAACAGTTAACAAATACTTGTTGAGTGCAGTTGCTTCTGAGGTAATATTCTAGGTGCTTGGCATATATCACTGAACAAGACAGACAAACAACTCTGCCCTTATGGGGCTTAAATTCTAGCAAGGAGAGACAGAAAATGAAAAAAAAACATAATAAGTGAGCAAATTGTGTGGCCCATTAGAAGATGGTAAGTGTCATGAGAGAAGAAGAAAAAGCAGAACAAGATAAGGGAGAACGAGACTACAAAGAGTAGGGTATACATGACAGTACTAAATAGGGTGCCCAGCGTAAGTCACCCCAGTCAGCACGTACCATCTGAAAGAGGTAAAGGGAATGAGCATAGTTGAGATCTAGGAGAAAGTCATTCCAGAAGAAGAAATGGCTAGTGCAAAGGCCCCAAGGCAGGAGTAGGAATGCCACTGCAGCTAAAGCACTGTGAGTTAAGGGGAGTAGTATAGGAGCTCCTGGAGGTGTCAGGGCCCAGAATTTTAGGTCAAGGTCAGCAAACTTTTCTGTGAAGAGTCCAGTGGTAAGTATTTTGGGCTTTGCCACCCACACAGTCTTTGTTCCAACTACTCAACTCTGCCTGTGTAGCACCAAAACATCCATAAGCAAAAC